TATATATATTCCCTTCCTTCTTTCTTTCTTTTCTCCTTTCCCTCATTCCAGTTGTTCTTTCCTTTTGAGCAGTTTCTGAGGAAATATATCTTGCACTTTAATTTTTTGGTGGTGGTGGTACTAGAGATTGAACCCAAGACCACATTCCCAGCCTTTTAATATTTTTTATTTTATTTTTATTTTGAGACAGGGTCTCACTAAGTGACTAAGTTCTTTAAGTTGGGTTCAGACTTACATTTCACAGGCCTCACCCTCTCAGAGTCAGGATTACAGGCATGTGCCACCATGTCTGGCTTTGCACTTGTTTCAAATTGCATTTCTCTAATCACTGGAATGACTGTACATCCCTGCTGATGTTTCTTTGCCATGTGCATCTCAGGAAACCAGGTTCTGCAGAGCCCCTGGCCAGGGTGCCCCAACTGCTCGTGCGGCTTTCCACTAAGGAGGCTCCACAGTGAGCTTCCCTATGGGAGGTAAGTGATATTTATTTTTTTAATGTAAAGCTGCTGCAGAAGCAGTCATAGCAGCCCCCAGGGAACTGCAGCTCATGTTGGAAGAAAGAAAAAAGCTTCCTTGTGACAGCAGACTCTCTCTGTTCTGCAACTGTTCATCGTCATCACGTGTCTGTAATGATGCAAGTTCAGCCAGCCTGCCGTGTCCACGCGCAGGGCTGGTGCCTGCATCTGCATGGCCCTGCGGCTGTGCGAGGTGGCCAGTGGGAGCAGTCCTGGGCTTGGTGCCAGCAGACCCAAGTTCAAACCCTGGTTCTCCCTGGGAAGAGCATGCATGAGCCACGCCAGCCCTTTCTCTGCTCATCCTCTTTGCCATCTTGTAGCTTCGGACCTGCCTACTCCTCCAAGCTCATTGCCTACTTGGTTTCTGTGGCACTGTTTTTATGACTCTTTTCCCAGATCTGTGACCACTCTTCCCCTCCCGCCTTTGCAGGGTCCTCATCTGGAGGTCTGCCAGTTCCCTCCATGGATTCTAGAGGTCTCTAGAGGGCCCAGGCATGTGCCCTCTGCAGAGCTGCAGCCCACAATCTCTGCTGCTTTTGGAGCAGGTCACTGGTGTTCTGTGCCTAGGAATATGCACAGGGTCCTCATCTGAATGTGTTTGTACATCAAGCCTCCTCTTCCCATGTGCATAGCTTAGAAATGGTGTGGACTAGTTGCTTAGGCCAAAGACCTAGAGAACCAGCTGAGAGTCCTCCTTATTTGTTGCCGTAATTCTTTGATGATTCCCCACTGTCAGTTGAATAAAATTCAGGCTCTTCAGATTTACCCCACCTTTTATTTTCCTGGTTTTCCTCTCTGGAGTTCCTTACAGTATCCTACATTCAAGTCAAATTGGGCTGCTTACAATTAGTCAAATTATCACATGCTTTCTGGTCTCTGCACTGAGAGCATGGTTTCTCAGCCTTGGTGTTTGTAATGTTTTGAGTTGGATAGTTCTTTGTTGTGGGGACTGTATTGTGTATTACTAAGATGTTTAGAAAACATCTTTTGCTTCTAACCAGTAGCATCACTCCTTCCTCAAGTTACTGCAATGAAAAATTCTGCCAGACATGCCCAAATTTGTATCCAGGGGACAAAAATCACCCCCTGGTGAAAACAACTGCTCTGGAGTCATATTGCTTTGTTTGCATGAAAACTTATCTCCCATATTTTCCTATCCCCATTGTAACATAGTGATCAATTTGGGAAAGCAAATTACAGAAAAGTATATGTGCTATGAGCACAAATGCATGAGGACTGGAAAGGAATGTGCAGAAATGGGTGTATTAATATAAGTTTTGCTTCCTTGAGCTACTCTTCTATGGGGTTGAAAATGTGACCATTTTATACTCAACAGTATCTGGCTTTCACCTGCACTGTTATTGCAAGATTCTGGCTCTAGAAATTTCATGGCAGACAAGCTGCCCCTCCCATGGAATCTGCTTTTGGGTCTTGGAAACCTTTCAGGCTGAGTGAAACCCGTGAGTGAGCTACCTACCATGCACCGATGTCCTGTCCTGTGGAATTCAGACATGTCTGGGGATGTCTGAATCCCAGGGTTAAGTCTGAGCCATTCTGCTACAGTGGGAAGTGGGATTATGAATAACTTACCAATGTTGAATTTTCATAAATGTGTTTATTATTCTTTTTGTTAATGCTTGGTTAAACTTCAGATCTTTCCTCCTAAACTTCTGAGCTCCAGCTGGCCTGTCCACTCTCCAGATGACGGAATGTGGGCTCTCATTCTTGCTCAAGAACCTACACTTTGCCTTCTGATGGGACCTTTCACGGGGCTGCTCTGGAATGTAGTACTTATGTACTTTTCCTTTCCCCTCTTTTGTGCACACTCCTCAAAGACAGAGTGTGTAGGCCCCCTGTGGGTACTGTCACTGCTTGATGAGGCCCTAACTGTGTGATCTTACTCCTTGAATACTTGACATTCATTATGTGCCAGGAACTGATGACAGAGAGCAACTGATAGAACATGAAGTCTTCCCATAAAGACCCAGAACAACAGGATCCCGGATCTTCTCTGCCACCATTTCACAGGGACCCTGACCAGCTCTCCAACTTCTCCATCTCATAGAGTCCTATCCATGCAATGGGAGAAATAGTCCCCACCCTGGGAATCTGGTGAGACTTTGTACTTAAGTGCACTGAGCCTTGGACAAACGTCACCAGTTTTTAGAAGGCAAATTTCAGTAAGCTATTCATTTTAGACCAGGAAATAGTGCTGTGGTTTTTCAGTAAAATTCCCCAGTGGTCTCCTGCCTTCAGATGCCTTTCACTGAAAGAGTTCATGTTCAGGAAAAACTCAGCAGGCTGGGGTGAAGGTTGAAACCCAATTCCAATCACTCCTGACCTGTATCCCCCACACTGGGTCCTCAGATGTTTTCCTGTAAGTCTCAAGGAACTTCTAGAAGCATGGAGCAACTTATAGCCGTGGCTGAAAACCAAGGCCTTCAGTGTAGGATGTGAGGTTTCTGGGAAGATTTTCTTTCTAATAGAAGCCCATTGCTCAAGCATTGGCAAGTTTAGGGGCAAGAAGCTTGCTCCTTCAGGAGCCCACTTGGGAGCTGTGCGATTGGGACTTAGAGATTATAGTTGAGGCTCATTTGGAAAAGAAAGGCTGTTTCCTCTCCCGGGCTTGTTCATTTTGGAAGACTGGGGTACAGAATGTGGTGACCACGTTGAAGAGAGGAAGGAGACTGGTACAGCTGGACAATGTCTTGCTCATCCCAAATTATGAGACTAGGGATGAATGGATTTGTCAGAACACAAGATAGCCACTATGTCAGCGGATTTTAGAAAAACGTAGTCATTTGGGAAGGAAATCTTTCTAATAGGTGTCCCACCTCCTCCAGCTCCTTAACAGTGGTGCATGGACTGACCTTTGGCCTCATCCATATTTCAGCTTTCTCGATTATTACTTGAACCCTGGACTTTTTACTCTATTACTTGTACCCTGAAAAATACCCCAGTTTTGAGCCCCTCCTGCTCTTTTCTCTGCATGTTTACCTCCTGTGCATCTTAAAGTCTGTATTCTCCTAAAAGCACTCTGCTTGGCATCTGGTACACTAAGAAGCATGCCAGGCGAGTGTCTCTGAATGAGCGGCAGGACCATAAGACCTCTGCCATTTTAAAGTTCCATCCAGTTAGTCAAGTACCATCGTTGTTGTTGGGTTTTTTCAAATTGTAATGTAAAGTAGAAGGAAAGTTCATTGTCTTACTCACTTTGCAAGACTTTCATTGCCTGCTTACTTTGTGCCGCACACAATGTCAGGCATAAGAGGAAAAAATGAAATTTGTTCCTTCCCTCAAGGAGCATACAATCTAAAATTAAGGTGCATGCAGTAGACACAATGGAATATGACATGTGCTCTGCTGGGGCACTGAGGCAGGAAGAACTTTAGGGGTTTCTATTCCTGAGCCTGAAACACAGAATAAGTAGCATAAGGAATAGGTAATGCGTACGTTAAACAAAGTGATTTGATGGGACAGGTATATGATGAACATGCCCTACATGCCACAGAGCTTAGAAGTGTGGCAGTCCCTTCTACTTAGTGACCCAAGACAAAGGTGTTTTTAAAATTCTCTCTGATTGCCACATTCTTCTCTCTTTTAGCACTGTCCCTGGTTGTACCTGTATATCTGCCTCTTGCCATTCTTCCTTGTCATCCGACCCGCTGCTTCTAACCTACTGATTTCTAGGAAATGGGTTAAGTGGATTTGTAGAATCAGGATCCTTTCTTTATAGCAGTGTGTTTCCACCCTGGCTGGCTACACATTTCAGGCCCCTGGGAAATTCATTGAGTCCCCATCCTTGTGTTGATGCTCAGCAAGTCTGATTTAATCAGTCAAGGTGCAGTTTGGACTCGCTAGCTGAAACTAGCATGCTTCCCAAGATTAGGATTGCTTATCTTACAAGCAATGCTAGATCCATAAATTTGCATCAGGTTTGGAGGGTGACCTAGTCTCACCTGTGGAATTAAGTACACAGGCTTGGTGACAGCTCTTCCCTAAGCACAAAATTCATTTTTAAATCTCTGGGGTGTGAAGACACAGTCCTGGCCTCTCCACTAGTTGTAGCAGCCAGTGTACGGGTCTAATGATAAAGCTTCCCAGGGCCCAGAAATGGCCCTACTCATGCTTCAAGATGTCTTAATACTTCACAAGCAGTTATGAATAGTGGCTGAGCTCATTCCTAATCAGGTGCTTAAAATCTCAGCTAATAAATATTGGTGCTAACAAAGGGCTCAATATTTCATCATAATGGCCAAGTGATCAGAATTCAAGATCCTATTAACTAGAAGATTTAAGACTTATGACTTGAAAACTGAACATGAGCTATGCATACACACAGCAAAGTTAAATGTAACCTGACATCCATAATATATATCTAGTTAGGCAAAGTTACAATGTAGTGACAGACAGCCTGCCACCTTCTAATTTCTGAGACATCTTTCCTCAAAGTTCAGCCTAGTCTAGCTTTGGCGACATCCAGCTGTCTGTGACTTGAGCGTGGCAGCTGCCTGGTGCTATCTGACACACTTATATAAGATTTTTCAGCAAGCAGGAATACACTGAGCACCTATCATAGACGAACGGGGTGTGGACAAGCACAGACATTTTCCTTGAGGCATTCACTGACCGGTGTGAGACAGATGAGAAGTAAAGGTACTGAAAGCTTGCACAGAGCAGCAATCAAAGGCTGAAGAAGTAGAAGAAACAGGAAATATTTTAGAGGTTCTGCTCGCTGGGCCTGAAACCCAGGGTAGTTAGCATGCTGTCACCCAGGAGTAGGTTATTCAAAGTCTAAACAAAGCAATTTGATGCAACAAGTATCTAAGCAATGTCAACTTTGGGAGTAGCTCTGTAAGGAAGGTAGAGAGAGGATATCTATGGTGTGTGACTTCAAAGACATCACAGCTTGATGAGGCGGGGAAGACAAGTGCTAGGGTTTTTCTAACAGGAAAGAA